ATCTTACTACCACTCCGAAGTCTCATCATCTTACTACCACTCCGAAGCCTCATCATCTTACTACCACTCCAAAACTTCATCATTCTACTATCACTCGAAATACTTCTCCTTCTACGGTCATTCGTGTCACTACTCCTGCTACTACGACTTCTATTGGTCCACAGAGCAACCGTAGTAGAGTTATTATTAATTGGACTTACAATAATGGTGTTACATCTGTAAAAATGCAAATTAATAATTTAAAAACATCGCAATGGTTTGCTTTAGGTCTTTCACTTGATGACGACATGGTATAGCATATAAGTTATATTTTATAAATACTTATATTTTAATATATAGGGTGAAGATCACGTTTTTGTCTGCAAATGTTCAGCTAACGATCAAATTTCAGTTGTTCATGGTATTAATCCACTTGGTCGTTTATCAACAGTGTTATTTAGTACAACAGCAAATCTGGATGGTACTTTAACTCCGACTTCACTAGCACTTAACAATGGTGTAACTTATTGTGAATTTACTTTATCAAATTTCGGTGGCTCAAAATGGCGACGACGTGATCTTTTTCCACTATCTCAATCTACAACTTATATTCCACTTGTAGCTCTTGGAAATTTAGATAAATCAGGTAAATTTAAATTATACTCAATAAAATATCTTCTATTCATATAAAAATAGATAAAATGATTAAGCATACATCACGTGCAGCGTTACCACAAAACGTTCAACTTAACACAAAAATACAAATTGTGTATAATGGAGCAGCAAGTTTAAGAAAAACACATGTTGGCGACTATAGAGGTCACTCGATTACCGCTAACTGTTCCGTCATTCTCTATTGGTTTTTCTTTCTTTTTTTTCCTATAATTAATGTGCGTTTTCTCTAGACGGTGCAGGAATTATTCCAAGTTATTTTTTTCTATCTCACTTGCTGTTACTAATTTTTCTTTACCGATCATATTATTCTTTAGTTAGTCTTTCCTATTGCTATTCTTCTTTTCTAAGCGGCTATATTATCATCAATACAACCTATACAGCTACCTCATTTCCCCCTTTTTTTCAACATAGCAATAACCGCTAAGAATGTTTCTTTATATTTTACGTGAGATTCCTTGTTCCCGTAACAGACCAGGGTTACATATTTAAGTGTCATCTCACCTAATCCTTAAGTTAGAGCAAGAGTCATATAAATTTTCCAAAATGAAAATCTCACAATTGTTAGAGAAGCGGAACACATTTTGTTTGCTATTGCCCATTTTTGTTCTCTTAGTTTGTTTTCGTTACTTTCCCGCATGAACCTAAACCTAACGCTTACATTTATTGATCACCCTTAAATGAATAATGTTTCTTACATTATGTCGCACGTTGACATTATCATTCTTCTATATCATCTTCTATGATCTTTCACCTACTTTTGATATCATTGGTATCTTTTCTTCTTTCGTTCTTCGTATACATATCATATATGTTTTCGTTTGTTTTTCATTTTTTAATAATAAAGTTCGTGCATATATATCAGCACATATGGCATCTAATCTATAATAAATAAACAAAAGGAAAGGAAGAACGAAAGCCTAACTTTTGGCGACTCTGTAAAACAACAATATATATATATGTTATGGTTCAAATTAGAATTCAGGATGTGGGTGTTGGGTGTGGGGTGTGGATGTCAGTCAATGAGATAACAGCACACTCTAACACTCACACCCACATCCAGCCATACCCAAAACCACACCCACCCACATCCCACACACTCATACCCCACATCCACCCACACACGCACATCCACGCCACACCCTATGATCGTTCCTTGAAAATTCAATATCTTGAGAAAGAAACATTCATTTTAGCTGAAACTTTTAGGACATTCTAGTAACCATGAGACCTGTTGATAGACAAAATTTCAGGTCAAAATTCCATAGTTGAGCTTCCCTATAAATACCATTCCCACAAGTCGAAAAACCAGTAAAATAATCGTAACTCCAAAAGGACAGCGTATGGGACGAATCCTTCCAGGATTCTACTAGTCTCATCTAGTCTTAGTTATGGGCAAAATATGAGCTCGATCAGCGATTAACACTTGGAAAGGTTCCCTCGTCAGTGATCGAGCAAAGATGCATTGTTTTGCTGATGTGATGAATAAATTAAAATTAAAAAAAAAGAAGTTTGAACTTTTATTGCATTTTTAGCACATAAGAAAAAAACAAGACCTGCTCTATGAAGGCTTCGTATATTAACATAGCATATTTGATAGTTTCGCCCATGATAGATGCTTTTTTTATTTAAAATAAATAAAAAAAACAGTAAGAGAACAATTTTCTTCAATATTGAAGAAAATGATGTCGTATTCTGTAGCTAATTGAATATGCAAGATAAAAATTGAGTTGAATGTCAAGTTCTATGAGCCAGAGCATAGCGGCCAATATAGAATTGCTATAACTAACATCGGTAACTGCAACTAGTGTCTCTTGATATCGTCAACAACAATTAACCAACTAGTAGCACCATACGGTCAACAAATAATATTATGAGGAAAGTGATTCACAAGAACAAAATGATTTTGTTTGAAAGTGAATCCAAATAAAGGCCAATAGGTTGCATCAATTCTGTTTTTCTCTCAATAACTGAATACCATTCATCTTTGACTGCACACTAGACAAATTTTAACATCATTTTATTAAAAACAACCTTTGTACGGATCATTTTTATCGTTAATTCATTAGATACAGTAGAGTTTTGGATTCATCTGATCGGAACCTTGGACAAATCTCAGAAAACGATAGACTTCATATCGGATGGCATCAGGAATCAACGAGATTAATGAAATATGTAAGATGATTTTACGCAGTCTTTACACCGTTACAAGCAAGCATTTTTAGATACTTGAAAATCTCATTGAATCCGTGGTTCATGAAACGATCAATTAGTGCATGTTTTCACGAATATTTAGATTTCATGACACCAACAGCGCAAGAAATACCCATCAA